TTACTGCCACTTCTTGGCGGGTCTTTCATTGTGGAAGGTAAAATGTGGTCCTCCCGCGATGGATGGCTCTGGCGGGCGGTGAGACGTCTCTCCCAAGACCGGGGGATTTCGCTCGGGGAAGAGCCTAGGGTGACGTAGGACTATCAATTTCTTTCCAAAAAGGGTCAGAAAACTTCTGTCCTTGGAGAAAATTATATTCCTGAAGACGATTTTATGATGACTCGATGAACAGAAAGAGGGTTTCGTTTGTGGTAATCGCTTAGGATGAATTAGGACAATGAAAGTTTAAAAAATCACGATTGTTAAGGCAATTTTTCCTGGTACTATTTTACTATTAACGAAAGGAATAAGAAATGTATAAATCAGAAGGGACAGTGTTTAAGATAAACAAGGGCAACCAAAACATGAAGAAAAAGAACCATACTGCCGACGAAAACTTCTCTCTATATCGAAAACAATTTTCTTTGATTTTTTTAGTGATTAAAAAAAATCACATAAATCGGAGGAAACAAATTGACTTCAATTAGAACACATCATTTCAATCAGTCAATCATGCCATATTGAAACATCAAACCTCACCGATAACAAGACCTAGATATATATCCTCGCGCGGAAACGCGAAAATCCGATCAAACACACGAGAACGACGAAGTGTGAGCCAACTCGTGGGTAGAAAGGTCATTTTCAGGCGTAAATACTGGAGGTGGGCGGGCATGCGGGCGGGACTGAAGGTTAGGGCGGCATGGAAGGGCCAGATCGAGAGGGAAAGGGACGGGTGTTATAAAAAGGAATCTTTTATTGGGACAAGTTCACCACAATGATGAAGGTGCTTGGGTGGAGGCGGTGATAACATTGCCTGCAATTTTGCCTTTATAGACACGGCTCTGTGGTTAGTCCTAGCTTTTAAATTTCAACCACACGCTATGTCTGTATGCATTTATGTATATATGTATGTGTATGTATGTTTGTTTTTGTGTGAGTGTATGTATGTATATGTGTATGCATGTATGTATGTATACATATTAGTGCATTTGCAAGTATATATGTATGCGTCTATATATACATCATACACGTGTATATGTCATTTGTTTGTCTGCGTAGACCCGCATAAGTTTATCCACATGGCATGAATATCGATCATTATGGCCTCCACCTAACCCACGAAATCCATATAGCACGTGGCAACACATCACACTTACACCTATACACACACACACACACACACACACACACACACACACACACACACACACACACACACACACACACACACACACACACACACAAACAAACGATACACCAGGTGAACTTAGAAACGACTTCACACTTCCAGGCTATATTCGCCACGCACATGAGAGGCACGCTCCCCTCCCGCCCTCTCGGCCCGTCCACTCCGCCGCCGATGAGGTCGAAGGAGGTCGAAGGAGGTCGGGAGGGCAAAGGAGGCCGCTCTGTCACTCAATTCCTGCGCTGAAAATCCTCTCACGTTGGTGAACTTAATCATAATGTTATTTCCGTTATAATTATTATTTTGATAAGTGGTGCAGTATTCTTCGTGTCATTTTCGTCTTCGTTATTTTTGGGTGTGTCATTGTACTGTAAACTGCGGGTTGAAATCTTGCTGGGAAGTCAATAGATTATCTTAATTAACATACTTGTTGGGGAAAATACTAGAAATTATTCATCATCTTATTCCCCGTCATTTATCATCGAAATGATTAAGATGGCTGACAAAATGGTAATGATAATGGTAAGGATAATAATGGCAATGTATATAACAATGATGAAAATCTGTGATAATGATTACAGCAATAATGATATTGATGATACCAGTAATATCAATAGATATCTAACGTCTATGATAATGATAGTGATAGTCATAATGGAATCAATAATGTTGATAATGAATATGTTAACAATAACGTATACTGTATAAAACAATAATAGTGAGCGATATGATGATGATGATGATGATAGCAATGATAATAACAGTCTTTGTGGTGACACTGGCGATATAATTAGAACTACAGCAATATTATCTTTGTCAGCATGCTGTGACAAAGGTAATAATTACAATGATAATTACAACGATGACGTAGATAACAGATAATTGTGATTATCAGGATAATTGAAATGATAAGGGAATGGTGATGGCAATCAACATGTTTATGATAATGACGATGATTATAATGATATTGATTATAGCAATGAAGATAAAGATGATAAATTATCACTAATGATGATAAGATATGATAAGACGATAATAAAAACGAGGTTAAAGTAACATGAATGAGCATACTGGCAAGAATAGAAAGAACAACGCCAACTAAAACATAATCTGACAAATAATGGAAATAACTGCAAATTATGATTGATTATTTATAAAAAAAACATCATCTTATGGAAATGAGATTATCAGTTTAAGGAAAAACTATTTAGCGACTTAAGTAACACGGTATTAGTGAAAGTAAAAAAAATAAATAATAATGATGATAGTGAA